TTCACGAGAAATTGTAAGGGGGGGGAGAGAAGTAAAATAGGCTCACGTTTTTGCTTTCTCTATCCAAAGCCCAGGAAGAGGTTCCATCTTCTGAATGCAGAAGATTCCAGGTTCCAGGCATCTCCAAGCAGTACTGAGAAAGAGTCCCATCTGAAACCCTGGGGAGTGGCATGGACCAGCATTTCCCAGCCTGCTGCCTTCCAAATGTTTTGAATTACAACTCCCATTAATCCCAGCCAGCATTTGGGAGATGTTGGGCAAAACGTTTGAAGGACACCAGGCTGGGGAACACTGGTCTGGGCAATAATGAACTAGACTGGCCAAAGGAAGGTCTAATTCAGTATAAAGCAACATCCTATGGTGGGGAATGTCTTTGCCATCTAGAACCAAGGGAACTCAGCAAATAACTCTATTGGGGCTCTCACTTTATTCATGACACCACCCTGCTTTATACTTTGTCTCTATGACACTTCTTAACATCTAATTACCACCATTTGCTAAGGTCCCTGTTATCTTTTTCAAAAACGTTCCCCTCAAGCAGTGATTGCTTTTTGTGTGTGTGCAAAAATATTGGAATATATTTACTGCAATCAACAATTCTTCCAAACATCTGGCTCAGAATTCAGAGGGGAATGTTGTCCTATCCTAGTACTCTCTGTTGCAAATAATGATGTATGTTCTACTATCTCATCTCATGAATATCCTTATTTTCCTTTTTGCTTCCAACACCAAAAGCTATTATGGATCTGTTTGCAACTCTGAATAGTGAGTTTTAAAAAATGCTTACGTAAGGCAGAAGCATGCCCTAATTCAACAGAAGGTACACCAGGAAAGCAATATAGACTCAGAGCTGAGGATCCAGGAATCGATTTATAGTGCTGGGTATGGGATTTGGATGGACACAACATTCTGCAGCATTCCCAAATGCTATTACTGCCCCCCAAAGTAGTGCATGCAGTATTTCATATAGTTGTGACACTGCTGGGGTGTCCCAATGCAACAGTGCACTGCAGTTTTGTATGAAGACATTTCAGCAGGGGCTATTTGTCATTTTGTAATACTTAAACAATAATAACAAAAAGCTACACCTGCCAAAATTCTACAGATGGTAAGTATAATGGTATTGTCTAAACTGAACATTGTTGTCTCACAAGTTCTTGGACAAGCTAGCCCACAAAACAGGGTTGGCCCTACCATTAGGCAGAGTGAGTCAGCGGCTTCAAGCAGCTTATTTTTGGTGTCAAGAATTGCTTATTTATTATTCTTGTATTTTCACTCCCAGGAAGAAGTACTTGTAGGATTCTTGTCTCAGGGCCAAAATAACTTAGCTAGTCTTAGGTACTATGCACCTTGGGAAGAGTGACATTTGCCCTTCAACCTGAGGCAGCAAAATGTCTTAGGAATGCCCTTAATGCCCTGTTTATTTCACATTTGACCAGATTTCCTTGCAGAAAGCCTACATGATGGTTAGACTACATCCAATCTTTATTGAGCATCTAGTTTGTTTATGGGGTAGTTATATGACAATGATAATTCATCCTGGTTTGCTTGCAGGGAGTTTAGTCACTTGTTCAACCCACACTCTTTAACACACTTTGCAAACTTGAAAAACTTTGTAGTTCTTTAAAAAAAATATGATTTGTTGCCCTAGGGCAACTTAGTACTTTAATCCACTTTAAATATGCAAACCTGAAGCTCTAGTGAGGGATGAGGGTGGCTCTGTGGATTAAACCATTGTGCCACTTGGGCTTGCCGATTGAAAGGTCAGTGGTTCGAATCCCTGCGATGGGGTGGGCTCCTGTTGTTCGGTCCCTGCTCCTGCCAACCTAGCAGTTCAAAAGCACACAGTGAAAATAGATAAATAGGTACCGCTCCGGCGGGAAGGTAAACGGCATTTCCATGTGCTGTTCTGGTTTCTCCAGAAGCGGCTTAGTCATGTTGGCCACATGACCCAGAAAAACTGTCTGCAGAAGCAGACAAACGCCGGCTCCTTCGGCCTTTAAAGCAAGATGAGTGCCACAACCCCAGAGTTGTTCGTGACTGGACTTAATTGTCAGGGGTCCCTTTACCTTTAAAGCTCTAGAATGTACTTGAAGCCCTCTTGCCAAATACTGAGCATCTAGAGGCACCCTTAGGCCACCACTGCTGCAAACAATTGGCAAAGCTCTTTGCTGTGAAGCACTTGCTTACAAAGGAGGAGAACAAGGGATTAGGCGTTTCCATTAAATGACCCACATACAGAAAAAAACCATTTAAGTAGCCTGACCTCACATTTCTTCCAAGTGTGAGCAGTAAAGCTACAACAATCCTTTGTGTGACTACACAACAGCCCCATCGGTTCCTCCTGCTGTGTGGTCATCCTGACTACCCTAGTCGTCATCATTCAGTTTTGGAAACAGGGTGGCACAGCAAAACAGAGAACTGCAAAAACTGAGACAAGACACATCATTTTATGGCTTTCCTGAAAACTGCTAGATTTCTTTCCCCTCCCTAACTGTAAACAGAATATATTTAATGTTTCCATATTCATCATTTTATGTTCCTCCCAGAAATAGAAAAGAGCTGGACTGTGAACAAGAACCAGATACCCATTTAAATTACGACCTTACTTGTTTTTTCAACTAACACAGAACTTGATCCGGCACTGACAAAAAGTCTGAAAACAGAACAACACATTTTCAACATACCAACTCTAAAACATGTCATTGCCTTAAGGAAAATATTTTAGGGGAGGGAGAAACAAAGCTGAAAAATGCATATTTTAGATCAAATGATCAAAAAGCCTAACACAATTCTGTAAGGCTCCAATAACTAAAAAGGGAACTTTGAACTTGCATTCTTTATTAATTGGCTTTCCATATTTTAGCTCTGAATGAATATTTTATTCTGACTTCTAGGTTTGCAGAGACTGCTTCATAGGAATGGTATAGAGAAGCATTCAAAATGTGAACATTCAGCTTCTTTGGACAAGCAGAACACCTTTATAGCCTGGTTGCACACGTCAAGGGCTATGGGAATGGCATTAAGGTTCTCTGGTTACACACAGTTGGGTCTCACCACCCACAGAAGGCTCTTTGAAGGAGCGAGGAGGTGATACTAATTCTGTCTTTCCTCTGCAGTCCCCAAATCAACCCCACAGCACTGGGAGAAGGGGCTTTGGAACCACACAGTAGGTGATGTGGTGGCTGCAAGAGGAAGGGAGAAATTATAAAAATCACATCTTTCCCCTTGTTGGACCACAGAGAATTTCCATGAACTGGGGGATACAAGCCATAGCAGTTCTTACAAAGCCACTTCTCTTATCACAAGGCTAACTATGGCAGATCTTGTGTTTAAATATTTGCGTTTCCTTGCAAAAAGTACACAGGTGTGTTTTAACTACTCTGAATCCTTAGCATTTCTAGTCATCTTTGCCGTGTTCAGGCTTTTTATGCAATTATTCCAGCAATTTCAACTTGCAGGGCCCAATCTAGAGAAACTTAAGACTCTTTCAGACACATGATCAATGCGCCAAGGAATAAAGTCCATTCACTTGCTCACCTTCTTACCCCAATGGTTCCTTGGTGAACAGAATCTCTATGCGTACATGTTGTATGTACGCTGAGTACACAACTGGGCAAAAATGCATTTTGCACGTTACCAGATCGCAAGTTGAAGTACCTGTGTGCATACAAGTTATCTTCATATAGCTCTACTGTATTTGGAACTCATGAAAACGCCCTTAGTCATACTTTGAAATCACTGGGTCGAAAGTTAGGGCTTGTGCATACTTCTTGTCCCGCCACTTTCCCCTGGGAAAACCCGCTGTTTACTGCTAAATCACAATGTCAACAGGGTTTTCTGCAGATTGCTGCTTGTCCCGATCCAGCAGGAAAGGGCAGATGTTCTAGGTGAAAGTGGAGGCACAAACAGAAAACCTCTCAGACCCATGCCTAGAAAGCATGGTGGAAAATGAAAAAACCTCTCAGACCCATTTTTTTTAGGCACAGAACAAGTGGACATGTGGACAAGCCCTTACTTCTGTTTACCCTAAGTCCCATGTACTTCATTGAGTCTTAAGCCCAATCAGTTTCCTCTGAACAGGAAAACTGTGAGAACTGATCTTTAAAGATAAAGGATTCTCAAAGACTCTGGCTATCTCTTCAGATGAGAGCAGTCACGTCATCAACAGGCCTCCCATCTTTTGTGATTCAGCAGTATAGAAATGGGGGAGGGGGGAATAAAAACACTCCATGATTTGAAGAGAGAGGGAGGGGGAAAACCTCTAGTACCAGAATGCATAAGAAATGAGGGCTAAGTTCTTCATTTGGCTGGCAAGTGAAGTAAACAAATCAATACTGTTTAAATTATTTCCACGTTTAAGCAAAACTTGTTTTTAAAAAGTGCAGAGCTTGAAGGGAGAAGAAAATTATTATCGTAATTGTTAATAGCCCCATAGCAAGTATTTTAAGCCAAGTGGAATGCAAGTTCTCAGCATACTTGTTATATAGAAGATCCTTTTATTCTTAGTAATAAAATATGCATAAGTATCTAGTCCTAGTGTTATGTAACTGCATCTCAAACAAATATTGGAATTATAGCTTTAAAGCAGGGTGCCTAAAGACTCATCTCTCCCTTTAAAAGCAAAGAAGATATCAGCAACTTGCAGAGGAGTAGCAATGCTCATTGTTGCTTGCTACAAAAATGAAGAGTCTTGTGGTGCCTTAAAGACCAACAAATTTATTCTAGCATAATCTTTTGTGGACTAGAGTCTGAGTGGACTCTAGGCTATAGAGTCTTAGGCTATAATAAGATTTGCTCATTTTTAAGGTGCCACAAGATTCTTACTGTTTTTTCTCAACAACTTGGTTGCTGATCATAGCTGGCAACGTCAGTCATGATTAATCGTTTTTTTTCTAGTGACTCATCATCAAATAAGCCTTACCTAGACAATATGTCACAGTCAAGTGATCTGATAAAATACCCGCATCATCAGTAACACAACTTCTATACTCTTGAGGAACACAGTAAAGCTTTTTTTATTGTTTGAATTTCGGTTACATTTAGGATGAACACTCACAATGCAATCCTATCAAAGCAAATGGAACATAGTCTGTTTATTTTATTTTATTTTATTTTGCCTGCTGGGCTTATGTAAAGATTACTTATCTATTATTATAAAAATAATGAGTAAAAATATATAATGAAGTAGGATCAAATTTCAGTAACATCAGTTTATTCAGATTTCGTATTAAGCATTTATTTTGCAGGTGGGGTGGTGGGGGGTGGGACCTCCTTCAGCGTTGTATAGGATCAGAAGACCAAGCAGTCAGCTTCTCAGATGGTTCTAGAGTTCTCAGTGTTTGATGAGGTAATGATACAGATATGAAAAAACTATATAGTCACAGCATCGAATGGCTACGTTTATTCCCAATTGGTTAAGAGGACTGGGGGAGGGGAGAAGACGGCACTTTCACGTTTCTCCTCCTGTGTTGCCAGAGGCAGGAACACAAGGTGCTTCACTTATGGAGGAAACAGTAGTGCAAACAATACCAGTCATTAATGGATAGAAAAGTCCATTGAATTCCCTGCTTCAGTTCCAGTCACGTGTGTGAAGTACGTTGGCTAAATTCTAAATCTCTCTGCTATTATATCTGCATTTGCTACATATTCTTGAACGCCCCTCTTCTTTTCACAAACTACAAACTTGAAGAACTTATACCACTAAGCGTATGGTTCATTTAAGTGCATTTCTGGTCCTTCAGAATGAGAATAGCAACTGTTTCAAATTAAGAAAAGGGGGGACTAGTGGGAAAATAACTCCAAACATGATTAAAAAAAAAGAAACAAGACCCAAATATCTGAACTTTGTGAGAAGACACATGTAGATCAAGAGATAAATGGAAAAGAGAGTTTTCTCTCTATATCCAAGTTCCACACCAGGCTGGTCCTCCCATCAGAGGAAGAGTCACCATTTTTTTTCGAACCCATGAGCATATTTGAAAAAAGAGGAAGTGTTGCTGCCACCATGAATGCACTGCAACTTGGTATGCTCCACAACCATGCACACACTGCAACCACATTGACAATCACACACAGAGAGACATACACTCACTTTCCCACTACTAGCAATTGGGCATGAAAAAATTGCCTTGCTTCTTTTTAGGCTAGAGCTTGGGGGCAGGATATCTTCCCAGAGAGTTAAACTTCCTTCCTGAGCTGCACTATCCATGAAGATGGCCCATACCCGACATTTATACCTGGGGAAAGTGTTCTATTGAAGCCAATAGAAGGCATTTTCCAAGCCTAATTGTAATGAGGGGGCAACTGTTGGGGAATTTGGTGATTCTTTCCTCTGCAGCTACAACCCACCCCTCAAAATAACCCCTCTTCCATTCTAATTTGGCTTGTGAGAAGCCTTCTCTTTTAGTCAATATAATAATTTTCTTTCCAGCCTAATTGTGACATAGGGGACATTTTTGGCAATGCTAGGGTCACACCTGGAGAAAGATCCCCCTGCTACACATGGTGCAGTAGAGCTTGAGAAAAGCTTTATATTGGCTACTATAGGAACACAGGAAGCTGCCACTGGTCCATCTATATGCAGGGTTTCAGGCAGGGGTTACCTCTGGCCCTGCCTGGAGATGCCTAAGGACTTTTTGCATGCAAAGCAAGATGCTCTACCACTGAGCTATACTTCTTCTCCAAAAGATGTTTCTCTCAAGTCCAATTTCAGCTGGGGTGGGGCAGAGGAAACAGAAACCTGAGGGCACAAGGAAAGGCCCCTGCGGGCACCCACAGGTGCTGTATTGGTGATTCATGCAATAGAGTTTGATTTGATTAGCAGGCTCTGGAGTGGATAGCATTCAGCTACTTTTTATGATGTATACAGGGTGAGTCTTTTAAAAGAGGCCCCGTGGAACATGTGTACTCTGTATCCATGGGGCCTCTTTTAAAGGACTCGCCCTGTATAAGGAACACACACTTCCTTGCTTTTCTGGCTACTCTCCCCATAATGGTAAAAAAAAAATCAGCAACTTCTGAAGACTTTTTGTGAAAAACCATAAGGTTCATAGCCTAAACTTCTCTTTTTGCACCCAATATTAGCAAATATTGGAACAGCTTCTCTTCCAAAGTCGTTGAACTGAATTTAGGCTGAACTTAGTAACTTACACACACATGTGCTGGTATTTCTGAGCATCAAGGACTTTAGACAACAGAACTGTTGTGTCTTTGTAATAGCAACTTGATTCTACAGATAAACAGGAAAAGAGATGCACAGAACAGGTCTTTTCATAAGATATTTCATAAGAACATTTCTTTCATAAGAAATAGCACTAGCATGTGTATCTGTATACTCTGTATTACAGACAGAGTACAAGTCTGTAAAGTACAGATTTTCCATGTATAGCGAGCCTCCTTTAGGCTACATACATCTTTATATTTATCCTCTTGCTTTACCTTTACTGAAAGCTAACAATTTACATTTTGGAAGTTCTAAGAATGAACATTTCTGGATGCACAAATATATCTGCAAAAGACAGTTACTGCCATTCTTCATTTGACATCTGAACAAAAGCCTACTGGGGAGGAAAAGGAAAAAGCTTTATTCTGAAGGGGTTTGGGATCAGGACCCTCCCACCTGGTGACGTTCTTATTAAAACAGGTTTTACTATTTTTAAAAGTGGGAAAACCAGAAGACTTTCTTGCATGTATTATATAATACAGGAAGATGTAACTGGATTTTCTAAGCACAATGCTTATTCAAAGCAGGGAATACTATATAAAACCTGACCTTTTTGCACCCAGATATTAGGCAGACAATTGGGGAACTTTACAGTTCTCCAAATACTGAAGCTGAAGGTAGAGTCTTACTGCAGCCAGTGTTAATAATAAGAAGTTGCTGTAGTTAAATTAATTTCTACCTGCTTATCAGAGTTTTTTATGAAAGGGCGCACAGAGGAGGGAATGGAGTGAAATGATGAAGAAAAAGAAAACTGTACATAAGATTTCTTACTAGAGAGTGTTCCAAGTATTATTCTTTTTAGAGGGGGAAGACAGTACCCTACTTAATGGACCTAATGTACTGGTAACCTGGAGAGCTGAAATGGGAGGAATATGCATGTGAAATCAGTGCAAGGGAAAGTTGCCGTGCATTTATTTGGTGGGCAAAAAGTCCTTTTCAGAAAATAACTAAGATGGTTGATTTAATGTGTCATTTTAGCTATGATGGCTTCATAATCAGCATCAATGTAAGGATTAAAACACCAGCAAAACTGGGTTGGTGAGCAAAAGCAGATTTAGGTTTAAATGGCCTGTATGTGTTAACGCACATATTATCAAGAGATTTGTGTGTGAGTCACTTATTCAAATATGCAAAATGTCAGGAACATATAGCACTAAAATGAAAAATGGAAGCAGCTTGCAAGCTTTGGCACTCAACTGTGCAGGCAGACATGCATGTGAAAACACACACTCACACTCACTGTTTGATTTGTGGGTTACAATCTGACAAGTTGTTAAACAGAAAAGACACAAACAAGAATGAGTTGCTTTTCTCACACTGAGTTCTTATTTGATCCCCCTGTCTCCTCCTATACTTGATTTGCTTCCCCAGTGTTCCTCAAACCCATTTACTATCAACAAGTCAGGGACAGTTCTCGCCAGACTGTCAATGCCTATTCTTTCAAGGTCTTGGCTCTGTAGGACAAGTAAGGTTTTGAACAGCATGCGCAATTCATTTGCAGTCCACTCTGCATAGTCTTTAAAATTAGCAAGCTAGCAGGGAAAAAGAGGAGTGAAACATTGGCGAAAGGCTTTCAAACACAGATGGCTGAGAGGCAAAGGTCTCCTAGCAGAGGAGACTGGATGACAAACTTTTAGTTCAAGTGCAGTCACGCTGGATGGAGGCTTCTCCAAAGAAGTTGTCCCAAAGCAATCCAATTTCTACCACAGTGGGTCTACAAGGCATAATCCAGGAGAAACAATCATTTTTTTAAGGCCAAAACTACTTTCCTTCAGCAATTGTTAATGGGAGTATAATAAGATGCAGCAGCATTTTTAAACCAAGGCTCAGAGAGAAGCTACTTTCACTCTGAAAGGGAAGCTACACTAGGCTTGCATGGTTCTCCTCTGCACCAAACTCTGACATCCAAAGTACCATTTTTCCAGAGACGAAGTAACATGGTAATAATGATCTACCTACCTGCAGAACCAGACATACAAAATGCATTCAAGCCCTCCTGCCCTGGAGAATTAAACTTAACTGCATTCAATACTCAGCTTGTGCACCGAAACCGTACCAATTTATGAAATGCCTGTTTGAAGTCTTCATTGGACATGGTGTAGATGATGGGGTTGATTAAGGAGTTAAGATATCCCAACCATGTGAAGAAGTCAAAGATGGCCATGTGAAACCAGCAAGCATCTTTACAAATAGGCAACACCAAGGTGATGATGAAGAAGGGCAGCCAGCACACAATGAAGGCTCCTAGAATAACCCCTAAAGTCTTGGTAGCTTTCCGCTCTCTGGCGGCAGTCAGCTTCTTTTTTTCCAGCAGTGCATCAGACACCTTCACTTTGACTTGGTTCATGTACACAGGAGACCCCGTTTCACTAGAAGCCTCCGAAGCCTTGCAGTTTATGGACGTGACTGATGACGTTGAGCCCGGGGAATCTGTTATTAGGTGGGCTCGGGTTAACCTTTTGCCTGTGTTCTTTGGTGTCTGTTTCAAAATCCGAGACCTGGCTTCCACGTAGATCCTTCCATAGAGGATGATCAGAAGCAAGGTGGGGAAGTAGAAGGCCCCCACCGTGGAGTAGACGGTGTACAAGATGTGATCTGTGTTCACCACGCAATCGGCCACCTCTTCTTCCGCTTTCGACTGGCGCCAGAACAAAGGGGGCATCGAGATGGAGATGGAGAAGACCCACACCAGGGCAATCATGACAGCCGCCCTCTTGGGAGTCCTTTTAGTAGAGTACTCCACCGCATCGGTAATGGCCCAGTACCTGTCCAGGGCGATCACACACAGATGGAGAATGGAAGCAGTGCAACAAGTGATATCCGAAGAGAGCCAGATGTCGCAGACGATCTGGCCCAGGGTCCATTTCCCAGTCACAGTGTACATGGTGCTGATGGGCATGACAAGGATGGACACCAGGAGGTCGGTGACAGCCAAGGAAGCGATGAGATAGTTGGCGGGCGTGTGAAGCTTGCGGCTCTGGTAGACAGTGGCGATGACAAAAGCGTTGGACAGCATGGTGGCCAAGGTGATGAGGGCCAAGATGATGGTCAGCACCACCTTCCAGGAGAGCGGGGTGCCATCTTGGTAGGCGGCGCTTTCTTCTGCACCGCCGCCGCCACTGCAGTTCCTGGCATGGTGGAAGGAGTCATTGGTGTGGAACACATCCACGGAGGCTGGGCAGGGTCTGGGCTGCTCCATGCCTCCACACAGAGGCTCTGGACCGACGGGGCTGCCGAGAGGAGGAGGAGGAGGTGGAGGAAGAGGGCAGCGCCCTCACAGCACGCTACATCTCCAGAGAAGCCCGCGCGCCAAATGTGAGCTGGCAGACGGGAGTCTGGGCGGATGTGCGGGGGAGGGCATGCGCGCGGGGCTCACCCAATGGGGACGCCTCCCGCGCCCGGGCGGACAGGGTCTCGCGCCGCCGCCATCACGCGCTCGCCCGTCCGCCTACCTTCCTGCCGGCGCCAAGCCGCCGCCGCCTCAGCACGTGCGGGCTTCCAAGCGAGGCCATCTCGGGTGGCGGTGGTGGCGGCGGCGGCAGTCCATGCCCTGGTCGAGGCGAGGCAGCATCTTCCCACTTTCGCGACGGCAGCAGCGAAGCCGGCGGACGGAGAAGTTGGGAGCGGCGGCGGCGGCTGCGGCGGGAGTAGGAACCCACACGCGGGCTTCTCGGAGGGCGGGAAACGGCGCCACGGGCGGCCAGAAGCCTCTTCTCTTCTTCTCCGCGCCTCGCCCAACAACTTTTTCCAGGCGGCGGACGGAAGGAAAGTAGGCGGCGAGGCGACCCCTGTGTTGGGAAATGTTCCCCGGGTCCGTCTTTCTCTCTCTCTCTCTCTCCCAGGCCAGGAGAGCGAGGGTCCTCCCGGCAGACGCAGCCGGCGCCTCAGTGAGCCAGCGCAGCGCCAGCCTCGGCTATATATACGCCGCCCGCCGCAGCTCCGCTCCGCTCGGCGCGAGCCCACCTCGGCAACTCGTGGCCGCTCTCGCCCAGCTCCGGCTGCCGGCCTCTCGGCCCCGCCCCGCCCCTCTCGGCCCCGAGAGGATCCCGCCGGGTCCTAGCGCCCTCCCACCGCACCTGCCACTGGAGGTTCAGCTTTCCCCTCGAAGCGAAGCGGACTTGCTTGGGATCGCTAGTTCGCCTTGTCTCTTTGCTTGCGCCTTCTTTGGACGCGGACGCCTGACGGGCTGCTAGCAGCATGGGGCACCAGCGACATCCAAGGTGGGGCAAAACGAGGAGGATGGTGTCCAACCACGAAGAGGTCGCTGCCGTTAGATGGGGCGAAATGGCCCCTGGCCTTGAGGGCTCCTTGGTGCAGGGTAGGTCTATCCACAGCTCCTAGCCGTAGCCCATCGTGGCTAAATGAAGCCTCCAGTGTCAGGAGCAGTGTCGCGCGCGGGAGAGGTCTCTTGCCCTCACGTGTTGTTTGTGGGTTGCAGGACGCTGGACCCAGATGGGTCCTTTCTCTGATCCAGCCGGGCCACTGCTGTCGTGTCTGGATCGCTCTTTTCTTTTTTGTGTGCTCCTGCCTGATCCACAGTCCAATTATGTCCTTTGCGCTTTGATGTAAACCAACTTCACCCCGTTGGCTCCGCTGGCTCGACTCCAAGCCCTTCGGCTTTTAATTGGGCAGCGTCGCGAATCGGGCGGCTGCTCTTGCTGTTTTTTGGAAGGGGGAATTCTCTGAAAGTCTTCCCCGAAGAGCATCGGCTGAATGGGAACTGCTTTTATCTCCAGCCGCGGAGGGTTTGCACTCACGCCGAGTGCAAACGTAAGCATTCCGCCTTCCTCTGCCCACCCACCCGCGCTTTGAAATCTGCAGTCTGATGACAGGCATTTATGGGGACTGGCAGAACCAGAGAGCATGTACCCAGGACAGAAGCTTAATAATACTCCTCGTTCTCTCTGACACGCAACACCCGATCCCCATTATATGAGAGTCTAGGGAGACTTACTTTTGAGTAAGCACGTTTGGGATTCCTCTGTCTTTTCGCTCGCAACCTACTTGGGCGCCGCGCGCCTCATAAGCCTTGGCTAGAAGGTCCAAGCTCTAAGCTCTCTGCGTTTTTATTTCGACTTCCTCTCATTTTGGGCTGCTTTTGGAGTCCAAGGCGGTTTGCAATGGAAACAAATATATAACAGCAGTTGGCCGTCAGAAACAATTGCATGGCCGAACGAAGACGGCGTGCGCGCCGCCGCTCTTTGCGCGCGTTTACTCGGAAACCAGAGCCGCTGGGGCTTTTCTGCAGCTGTGCGCGGATCGCAACCTCCCTTCGAGGGTGGTTGCATCGCGCGTGCAGAACCAGACCTCCCTCCTGAGCTCTGTTCACACGCAGCAACAGTGCACGTCTGGCTGAAATCAACAGGCTGAGAAAGGCAGGAGGGTTTCTTCCTTGGGCTGCGGGGGGCGTCCAAAAACGCCATGGAACCAGACGAGAGAGGGCTATGGGCCCCCGGGATATCCTCAGCTAGGCTGCCTTTGGCAGAAGTAGGAAAGCAATACAGTGGTACCTCGGGTTAAGTACTTAATTCGTACCGGAGGTCTGTTCTTAACCTGAAACTGTTCTTAACCTGAAGCACTATTTCTGGGTTAGCAGAGTCTGTAACCTGAAGCGTATGTAACCCGAGGTACCACTGTATTTATCGTCGCCTAGAAAGTGCTCAACCTGTGTGTGTGTGTCAAGCAATCTTCCGAACTCAGTTGGTTAAAGCAGGCACCCCCAAACTCGGCCCTCCAGATGTTTTGGGACTACAACTCCCATCACCCCTAGCTAACAGGACCAGTGGTCAGGGATGATGGGAATTGTAGTCTTAAAACATCTGGAGGGCCGAGTTTGGGGATGCCTGGGTTAGAGCATGGTGCTGATAACGCCAATGTTGCGGGTTTGATCCCTGTTTGGGACAGCTGCAGATTCCTGCCTTGAAGCGGGTTCGACTAGATGAGCGTCTGCAATTCTATGATCCGGTCAGTAAACGCCGGAAGAGCATCAAAATCGGTGATTATGGAAGCCTTTATCTTTTCCCACTGCCCGATCTTGGCAGGTTGGGAAACAGCTCGGCGTGCTGACTGCAGAGCCGCGAGCTTTTATGGACTACTCAGGTGGTGCTGTTACGCGTTTACGATGTGGGTTTTTTACAGTCCAAAATGCGATCGTTAAAACATTATTGCGCTGCGTCTCGGGAAAAAAGGCTGCCCCCTCAACGCGTTTGCTCAGGAGTAACTAACTCCTACCGAGTTCCAGGGGGTTGAATGCGACTGCACAAGTCCCGAGCTCCACCCTATAAGCGAAGAAGGGACGGATCCTGGTAGAAGTGGCGAGTTGGAGGTTCGCGGCAGCCACGTTCCCACAGGCTTGGGTGGGCGCTTGCATTGGTGGGCGACAGATTGCCTGAATGACGCGAGCAAACAGGGTGGAGAGGGAAGGTTCTCCTCCCGGATTTCTGTATTGCATGCGTGGCGCACGCACATCCCTAATCTACCGTCATCACCTGTACAAGGCAAGTGATCCACGATGCCGCAGAGAGGTGAGATCCGATTCCGAGCCCAACTGAATTCTTGCACTAAAGTTGGCCGTGGGCATGGAGTGTGTGCACTCAGCAGTGAACTGTAGGCAATCACAGCTCCCCTTTGTTGCTTTCACATGTTATGCTTTCTAGGTGCACTTAAAAGTAATCCGTGAAGCGGCCCTTAGTTCGGTAGAAATGTGTTCCCTCTCGCCATCAGCGGTTAACTGCTGCCAGGAGCTGTGTTTTAGGTTACAAAACTGCCCTCGGGTTTCCTTAAGGCACCCCAGAGAACCAGCTCTCTCCCTGATGCTTCTGTTCCTCAGGGCAGCCGCAGACCATCTTATACCACGGCCTTGTCTGTGGCCATCCTTTTTGCCTGGGAGCCCCAGAGTATCCTCAGTGTCACCCCACCTTCCAGGCTCACCCTTTGCTGCACTTTCCAACCAGGGCAGGTGAACAGCTTTGGTCCGGACAGCATTGTGAAGGGGCCCTTTTATTCGTGCTCAGAAAGAAACTCTAGCAAGCCCCCGTCGTTCTTTCAGTGTAAAGTATGGTTTCCTGCCTGCTGAAGCTCAGCACCAAAGGAAAGCAGTTTAACTTTGCCCTTCCTCTTTCCCTTGCTTGTTTATTGCTGCAGCTGGTTTTTTCTCCTTTTCCAAAATTCTGTAGGACTTTTGTGGACCGTAAGCCATAATATAGTTCGAACTGGTTGAGCCTTGCTTGCCTCAACACAGTAAAATGTCCAAAGTTATCTCCCTTGTCTCGTCACATTTCTAAGGAAAATCCACGAGCCACTTAAATCCGTGCATGTGCCCTTAGATGGGCTTAGGGTGCAATTCACAAACAGAAGTCTTTGTTTTGATGTAAGCCAGTGGCGCTGCTTCTGGAGTGAAAGGTTTGAGTATCATACCCTGGCACCTCTGGTTTCAGCGAAACTTAATTCCCATTCAGAATGCCCAGATGGAAATCATTAGGAAATGAGTTTCACTGGTTATACTAGCACTTACACCTACCTGATAAAGGTGTACTTAAGCTAGACCAGGAGTAAGAACCATCAAACACAGTGCGGCTTACTTCCAAGCAAACCTACAGAATTGTACTCTTAAGATCTCCAACCTTAATGCAAGCTGATCTGAAAGTTGCAGCTGATGTGATTTTTCTGGACTGGGTCACATCTGGAACTGGGTTGATCAGAGCTGAGGTGGGGATTATCTATTAAGTCACAAGTAAAAATTATCTTAGCATTTCCTTTTCATCAAAAAGTTAACACCATTGATGGCAGAGACAGGAGGAGGATGAACTTCAGAAAAGCAGCTGGGCAGGTTAAAAGGCATCCCCCTGAAATGGTGCAGTTAGCTAATTTTTGACACTCCCTCCACCCACCCCCCAAATTACCTTTAGATGATAATGTGTATTATTTCAAAATGTGATAACGCAGCCCTGCTGTGTTTGGGTCCCTTCCTGCTTATTCTGGGGCCCTGGACTTCTGCTCCCTTATTTGCCCTGAAGGCCCCACTGTGCTGCTGATCTAGATCCCAACAAGGTTTCCTTTAAAACACACATGCACACAAATGGCTCACAGACCAAAAATAGGAGAGGTTTGCTCCATGTCTCTGTGGCTTTGCAGCAGCTGGTAAGGGAGCTGTCCAGCAAACAGAGCTCCTGAAATGTCAGCACACCCAGTGTGTTTCTGGAGGGCTGGGGCTGATGATGCAGATTTCAGTCTCCTCCTAGGAAG